CCTGCTTTTATAGCAGGCTGCTGGGGAAACCCAGCCAATGAGAAGGGGCAGCCGCCCCTGCAGCGAGGACGGACCTGGGTGGGAACTTCTTCAAGGTCCAGGGACATAACAGTTTTCACTTCAAATTTGACCAATTTAATTTTAAGTTACAAAAATTAGCAGCAGTTTAAGGAGAATTATTAGAAGATTATAGCAGTTACCCTGTGAGAACAGATATTACAGAAGAGAATTCTTATTTGTAACACAGGGTTGAATTGTGGAGTCCTTGATGCTCTCTGAGCTTGGTTTTATTGCAGTCATTTCATTACCAAACTAGGTACTATCGAGACATCACCTAGTTTGTAATGGAATGTCTGCAAGGAAATAATCAAACTCAAAAAGCACCAAGGACTCCACATATACTACATTTGGGGCTTTCAAATTTAGGGTAAATGTGGGCACCCTAGCCATCAATATTCTGTTTGCACTCTATAGCCCTCTAAGATCAGTGGCAAAATGGCTAGGGTTTTTTTTTTTTTTTTGGGGGGGGGAGGCTTTTTTCCCTCTTAAAAATGTGAAAGGGATTTCACTAATCCAACTATTACAATATTTACATAATCTAAAGGCCTTCAAGAAAAATAAGCTCATGCTCCACCTTGTGATCTCTATACTCTACCTGACTCTGTGGTTTCTTCCACAAACCCCCAAAGCTTTATCCTTAGACTATCTATTATTGACCTCACCCCTTTCCTAAGAGGTCTGTAGGGGGTGTGCATAAGCGCACCAACGTGCCTACCACCCCTGTCCTATTGTTTCTTTTATTTTTTTATTTTTCTTATATGTATCCATGTATTCATAACTATGTTTTTACTTATACCTGTTATCTTATAATCGCTTGACAAAATAAATAAATAAATACTATTCTCATAACATTGCGTGTCTAAATGACAAAAATGGGGCTGTTGACCCAAAGAAAGTTGTCTAGGACTGGTAGGTACAGGGAATCGCATACAGGTATATGTGGATAGAGATACATTCTAATAATGTTAAAACTTGCAGTCATTCACCGAAATTAAATGTAGGGATGTTCAGGTATCTCTTTAGGAGTTATCATTGTTTATTAGTCTTTGTTATCTTCTATTATCATTGTGAACAAGTAGCTTAATTGAAATTCAAAACAAACAACAATGTAAAAAGGCTGTTGTTCTTACATCTCACCTGTCAGTTGAGTTCTTTGTTAGAAAGGGTGTTCTAATATGACAAGGCCTCTGTGTTTTCCAGGATTACAATAGTTTGAACTTGGCTTCTCTGAAAACATTCAATGTGACTTCAGACTCCATTCCAGATACCATTGTCTCCTTTGGAATTTTGAATGAATTCTGTATAATCAGTGTCTTGTCTTGGTTCACAGATGTTTGAGGCAAGCTGTTGGGTTCAGAAGATTAATCTTTCTTGATATCTGTAGTATGAAATCAGAATCTTGTTCAGTCTAGATAATAGTCATTGGTGATGAACAATCTTCATTGTCTGCTTTATGAACTGATAAAGTGCAGATGTGGGAGGAAAAAGTAACCCAAAGCAAACACATTTTGCTCTTCAGATGGATGAACTTTGAAGCACTAGATGGGAAGTGAAGCTTGAAAAATGTTTGTTGAAACCCATCGTTCTTCATTTTAAATTTTGGCAGAGCAATTTCTCTTTCTGTATCTGACCTTTAAGGATGAATTGATAATGGGAATAGATTGGGAAACATCTTTTGTATTACATTGTTCCCTCCTAAACCTCATAAAGCCACCATGGGCAGCCAACAGCTCATGTCTCATCAATATCTAGCTACCTTCACAAAGAATTTGAATAGGCAGAATTCAGATTTCAGCTGGCTGGGGAAAAAGGGGGGGGGGAATGCTGTTACCAAAGACAAAGTATTATAGATAATTAAGAGAGACATAAAGTTAGTTTTCAATAATACATCTAAAAATTGATGTGTGTCTGTCTGTGTAATGTATACATATCACACAGATGGACACACATCCATATATATAGTAGTGATCGATGTAGCAATACTAAGTCACAGTAAGATCAGGAAGGAGTATGAGTAACTGGAGAAGTACTAGGGCATGAAGGAGGAACTAGAGAGGATGTGGAAAATAAAGTCCAATGTAGTCCCAATGCTATAGACTGAAATCAGGAATAACAGAAAAACTATTGGAAGGGACCTTGGACATCTAATCCAACCCTCTGCTCAATTTTAGTGTAGTGTAGTGTAGTGTAGTGTAGTGTAGTGTAGTGTAGTGTAGTGTAGTGTGGTGTACTTTACTTTACTTCACTTCACTTCACTTCACTTCACTCCACTTCACTTCACTGTCATTGCACCTCATAGGGTCACAAGCAGGAGACCCTATATCCTTTCATATAAATGGCTTTCTAATTTTTTCTTAAAAGCCCCCAGCAATGGAGCAGCCACAACCCCTGAAGGCAAACCATTCCACTGGTTAATTCTCCAGAAATTTCTCCTTTGTTCTAGGTTGCTTCTCTCCTTGATTAGTTTCCATCCATTGGTTCTTGTCTTCCTTCTGGTGCTTTGGAAAATAGGTTTTTGTGGCAGCCTTTCAAATATTGGACCACTGCTATCATGCCATCCCTAGTCCTTTTCACTAGACTAAACATATCGAATTCCTGCAACCATTCTTCATGCTTTAGCCTCCAGCCCCCCTAATAACCCCCCCTCTCTCTCATTGTGTGTGTGTGTGTGTGTGTGTGTGTGTGTGTGTGATATGTAGATACATAGAGCCTTTCACACATGTACACACACACATACAAGAACTGTGATGTTGTTTCTGGGTTCTACTGAAGCCATTCTCTCAGCCTACCACCACAAAGCCATTTTTGAATTTCATCCTTACAAGTAAAATAAAGGTCTCTGATAGCCTGAATCTTTCCTTCAAAAAAGGAAGTAACCCTTTATTAATTACCTCCTCTGACATTCTCCTCCTAACTCTCTATTTAAAGTTTAACATCCTCTCCCCCCAGTTCCTGTTAATATCTTGTTCTTTCTGGTATCTCAGATTTGGGAAATTTTTTGAGAAGAATTTTGCTAAACTTTATAGGCATGTATAGGTACAAGGCATTTATAGGCACTTATAGGCATAATCAAGAAACTGTTAGCTTATGCATTATAGGTTAATTATGAAACTGAATTATGCCTATTGAAATGTGAAATTAGATTGGAACTTCTTTGGAAGAGACATTAAACAGCTTTAATTCAGTAAATATCATAGCTAAATAATTTTGCTGGGCCAGAATACTTGCCAACCATTTTTCCCCCCTACCCCACTCATTTCCTCTAAATGTTGGAGTATCTTCCTTTTTAGCACTTCATGTGCTATGATTAACAATAATAGCTTTCCTGGCATTTTCAATATGCACGAGCTTCTTTCGGAAAGTAAAGATGTTTTTTTTTTTTAATTAGTCCAAACATTTTGCTTTGCTTTCCAGGCTCATATTCTCTTCTTGCCAAGATGCCGTGACAAGAAAGATGAAAGCAGAAAGAAAGGTTACTATTAAGCCAGGGAAAATTTGCAAGGAAGTAATCATTCACACTGTTGCTTATGGTTTTTCCTAGAGAGAAATTTAAATGTAGGCCAGGCTTTTAGGTAGAAGGAGGCAATTCTTACCTGCTTGGCTTCTGCTTGTTCTGTGGTATATAGAAAGTAAGCACCCACCCACCCTCCTAGAGAATGAAATATTTTGAGGAATATTAAAAAGGTAGGATAGAATATTTCCCATAAAGGAAAAATGGGAAAAAAAAATCTTAAGGGAGGCAGAAATGCAGATTTGGTAATCCATTCAGAAAGACTGGGTCGGACAAAAACTCCAGATAAGCAATTAGGCAAGACAAAATTAGCTCAGACAAACATCTATGATTTGCATTTCGTTTTTTGCCTATAGAGCCAGCTATGACCCATACATGACCCCATAGAAATAAAAAAGGTATAAAAATCCATCCTACTCTCAACTCTATTTTGTCAGCTGTTCCAGCACTGGATGCTGTGTGTGTGTTGGTTCTGTTCGCCAATAAACAAAACCTTTCTTTTCAATCAGCCTCCATCTCACCTTAGAATTGGACCTGAATTTTTCTTCCAACAGGTAGAGGAGATAACTTTAAATCTTTAAAACTAGAGGTATTTACAAATATTTAAATCAAGTAGATGACTTTAATATTCTAAACACCAGAGGCCTACTTGAATTTTTGCAAGTTTATACAATACAGTGCAAGTCTATTCAGTACACTGAACCTGTACAAGTCTATCCAGTATATTTGCACAGTTTCTGAATTTGCACAATTATGTTGAGTTGCACACTAACCAAAAGAATTGAGCTTGCATAGTACAGTAAGAAAAGAAAAACCCATTCTAAATAAAGTTTACAGTATTCATGTTGAAACTGAAATGATAGAATGCTGGAAGGAGATTTTAGAGGTGATAGGATTGATAATATAATGTTGAGGAGTGGATGGAAAACCAATGCTATAAATGTTAGTGATCGAGAAAAAAAGAAAGAAAGAAAGAGGAACATATAAATCTCAAGAGTGTGATTTTGCCTGGTTATATGGAAGTAGGTATTGAAAGTAGTTTAAATGAAACACTGAAGACTGAACACTGAAACACTGAAAACACTGAAGAAAACACTGTCTCAACATACGCCCACACAAAAATCATCACAATGACATAATCCCCAATTATAACTTCAAAAAAGGCAACTATGATCTTACAGACAATGATCTCTCATCCCTTGATTGGCAATCTCTATTCACTGGATGCAATACTGTTGAAGACCATTACAACATATTTTTACTTGAAGTCAAAAGAGTCATCAAACTATATGTACCAACAACAACTCCCCAAAAAAAAACAAAAAACAACAACAGATTACTCATAACAATAAGGAAACTTCAACCCAAAAAGAGATCAGTCTGGCGGAAAAACAAATCTGGTCACGTTGCCAATTTCAAAAGTCGATACAAAAATTTATGCCACCAGATAAAGACTGAATGCACCAATTATCACATTAAACAAGAGGATAAACCTTCTATGCACCAATTCCACCCGCGCTTTTTACAATTTTGTAAACAACAAACTAAAAGACCCAAGATCCATCCTACCCTGATAGGACCAATGGTAAAGACTGCAATGATGATACCATTAAAGCCAACATCTTTAATACATTCTTCAGCTCAGTATTTGTAAACAGCAATGGATCATGCCCAGTATTTCCTAGCTGAACCACAGACAACCACAGTGATCTAATACATGTTGATTTTACAGAAGACAGTGTTGAAAAAGCACTATGCAATCTAAAACCATCTCTATCTATTGGACCGGATAGAATACGTGCCTACTTCTTTAAAAAGCT